AGAATGACTCAACAAAATGATCCATTCTGAATTATTACTATTATTATTATGATAGATAGATAGATAGATAGATAGATAGATAGATAGATAGATAGATAGATAGATAGATAGATAGATAGATAGATAGATAGATAGAATGTGGTTATTACTGTAGATGTACAATTTTCCACTATTGTGACTAGCAGCTTAAGATATTACACACAACATTCACACAGTATCTTACAAAATCAGTAGAATACTAAATGAACACAACTACCATATCAACATTACTAGGATTAATTAAAAATGAAATTAATCACATCTCAGTCTCAGTAAAGGTGGAGGTAGAATAGGAGGCAGGTGTTATTTCCACGGCAGCAAACAAAGCCAACACAGACGTTGTGTTATTTTATTTCTTCCTCCTGTACTCAGTAAGGGTGGAACGGTTCGGACGGTTTTCATAAACCGTTCCATCCCTAGTATTCCGTGTTCCTGTTCTGTTGACGTCATAACTTCTACCATTATCATTAAATATTAATATCATTGCCATTTTTCATCTAGTCTACGTGTTGCTGTGTTGGCTGCCTCTCGCCCTCTCTCTCTCTCTCTCTCTCTCTCTCTCTCACCCCCCACCCTGAGCCATGGTTCTGCTCCAGGTTTCTGCCTGTTAAAGGAAGTTTTTCCTTGCCTGTGTCGCCTAGTGCTGCTCATGGTGGGAATTGTTGGGTTTCTGTAATTAACTTCAGAGTAGGTCTGACCTGCTCTGTTTGGAAAGCTGTGAGACAACTGTTGTTGTGATGTGGAGCTATAGAAATAAAGTTGAATTGAATTGAATTAATTTTAATTTTGTAATGTCATTGTCTGAACGTCTGTCTCTCTGTTTTAACTCATTTTGTATTTTGTGATTTTGTGTTGTTTGGTCTTCCTGCCTCAGGACCACAGATGTAAACTAGCAACTATGCTATAATCTGGCTCATTTACAATCTGTATGAGATTGTTCATTAATGTGCACTGTCCTGATTAAATGAATAAATAAATAAAGTACCTACCCACGCCGGTGAGGTAGGGGCTGATGGACCTCCAGACCCCGGCGCTGCCCCTCCTTAGGCGCTGGCCGATGGCAAACTCCAGGTGCAGCAGCGGGATCCCCTCCAGGACCAGCAGGATCAGGAACGGGATCATAAAGGCTCCTGGAGAGGTCATATTAGTGCAGTGTTTTTCAACCTTTTTTGAGCCAAGGTACAGTTTTTCATTGAAAAAAAGCCCGAGGCACACCAACCAAAAATGTCAAACAAATCTGTATCCGCCTATAGTAACACTATAGTTATTCTTATTTTATTCTTATCTTATCTTAAGTGTCTTGAATAGGAATCAAATAAACACAAAAAATGTGTTTTTATCATATTTTATATTTGTTCTTTCAAATTGCTCTTAACATGTTCACTTCAATATGCTAAATTACATACAAAATCTAGTCATAATGAATTATTACATGATTACTCCACCAGTCACTAGAACAGCACACACACTCAAAGATGGCATATTATTTACAGATAATTAATTCCTTATCAAAAACTCTTTTTAGACCAATTAGGTGAAATAGGATGATTTTCTACACCTGACCATCACTAACGGCACACTAGTGTACCGAGGACCAGGGGTTGAAAACACTGTATTAGTGAATACTCAGCCCTGTGGTTTAGTCCATATTTTAAAATGTATTCGCTCATTTGTTTAGTTTTTTTAAACTGCAAGAAACATGTACAAAAATAAGTTAAACTTTTGTCTTAGAAAAAAAAAGTCAGAAAAAGAAATCAAGTTTTTTAATCTTTTTTCATGACTCAAACATGTTAGCGATTAACATTTAACCCTTTAAAGCCTGATCCAAGAATAAAACAAAACAGAAAATTGTTTTTTTGGGGGGTTTGAATTCCTTATTTGGCCTTTTAACAAAATATGTAAAAAGAAAAAAACAGAAATACATTTTTAATATTAATAATTTATTACTATGCGATAAGTCCAGATTATTTTTGTGTAGTCTTCTGCCCCCTGTTATCAGGTGTATCTGATTGTGTACAATAGGATTTAGAGCCAAGTTTTTACCATTAAATTATGCAAAAGGGGTCAGACGCAAAACATTTCAGAAACCGTGTGAATCAAATATAACACATTTGGCATTACAGGGTTAAATTTAATCAATTTTTACGAACATTTTGACACATCAGTTACCTCAAAAAGCGTAAATAATGTGAATAAAGCGTAACATTAGTCAAACGGACGCACTCAGCCTTACCTCCTCCATGACTCTGACACAGGTAGGGGAACCTCCACACGTTCCCCAGCCCCACGCAGAAGCCCACGCAGGTGAGCAGGTACTGGGCCTTGTTGTCCCACTTGGGCCGGTCCCCGGCCTCCTCCTTCTCCATCCTCTCCAGGTCTGCGTGGGACGGGATCCTGTCCTCCAGCCCCGGGTTTGGTAACTTTAGCTTCATGACGTTTTTCTGTTGATTTCACTGGAAACAAACGAGCTGAAATGTTGCCACCGACTCTCCCTCTGATAAGCAGCCGTGGGTTTCTGATACTTGTGCCGATTCTTTCCGGAACTCGTCTGTAAACAGTGAGTGAGTCTCTCCCTCTGAGTCTTTTCCAGCTCTGGGTCCAGGTGAAAGCGCTCAGAATAATGTGACCTGTGGCACCTGAGTGCTGGTTATCAGCGGCTCAGAACAGTCGGTGTGTTATTATGTAAAGTCAGCGCGTTTAAACGGAAAAGGCCAGCCCCCTTGATAATGTTTAATACATCACAGAAAAACCTGCCAGAGACACCTTCCAAAGGGGCTTATCAATCATGAGTGTGGGACAATCAGGAAATATTTATAGACTGTGATGGGAAATCTGACATGAAGGGCTTTTGTTTCACATGACGACTCTTGGAATGAGACCAGAATGTATATCTGTACGTTCTCTATTAAATTCAGCATTTTTCTGCATATCAGAGGTATTAGACTTTTGTCACTCTCTGTTTGAAAAAGCAAAACAGGAACATTTAAGGATGTCCGATTATAATTGTGGCATATCTTTGATATCTTTGATATCTTTGATATCTTTGATAGCACTCGTGTAAACCTTATCAATGTTCTCTCCTCATGCAATAATTAACCACAGACTTATTGTTGTCAGCAACTCCAGAGCTGGATTTACGCGGTGATTCTTCAACACGCGTGTCTGCTCATTTGCCCTCAACACTACACACACGTGTGTGTGTGTGTGTGTGTGTGTGTGTGTGTGTGTGTGTGTGTGTGTGTGCGTGTGTGTGTGTGTGTGTGTGTCTGTGTGTGTGT